TATTCGAAAAACTTAGTTTAAGTTCGAAGATGAGCCATTTTTGATTTGATCCTGGGGTACTTGCCCTAAGAAAAACCTCAAAAAATTGACACTTTTGTATGGGAGGTACCTGTAAATCGACTCCGATTAGCTTCAAACTTTCTGGGATTTCATTTTTTGGGAAAAAAATAAGATTCTGAAAGTTTGAAACCAATCGGAATCGATTTACGGGTACCTCCCATACAAATTTTTTGAAATTTTGACTAAAATTACCGATTTTTGGACAATTTTGTATGGGAGGTACCCGTTAATCGATTCTGATTGGCTTCAAACTTTCCGAAGTTTCATTTTTTGGAGAAAAAATAAGATTCTGAAAGTTTCGTGTTGATCGCATGTGCAGAAATTTGGTTTTTGGCCCTCAATTTTTTCCAAGAAAATTTTGACAAAAATTGAGGACAAAAAATCAAACTTCTGCAAATGCGATCAACATGAAACTTTCAGAATTTTATTTTTTCTCCAAAAAATGAAACCTCAGAAAGTTTGAAGCCAATAGGAATCGGTTTACGGGTACCTCTCATAGAAAATTGTTGAAGTTTTAGTTAAAGTGACCGATTTTTCACTTTATTTTCATTATTATATTTTCACTGCCTTTATTTCAAGAAAATTCACAAAAAATAACCAAACGTACCTACGGACAACGAAGGCCAACGGTACGGAAAAGTTCGGCATTACCAATGTAATTCTTTTTATTTACATGTATCAAAGAGTCGTATCAAAATGGATAATGGTTTGACTTTACCTTGCCAAGTTGGCCGCAAAAAATGGTTCTGTCCTCGATTGCTATGACAATAAAATGACATGTCGTAAAAAAAAGTCATGAATTTTTAATCTTCAGTGAAGAATTCCAAACCAGAAAAGTCACTTGATTGTATCAAAGAATTGCAAAGACCTCGAAGATGCTAAAATTCCAATCAATTTCGATAGTCGAGTTTGATATGAAGGGCATCGAAATGCTTTGCATCTAATATACATAGAGTATTGGGTGAAAATATTTATCATCGAAAATGGTTCTGTTTTGTTTTTGAGTTTCAGGTTCAATTTTTTATTTCATCAGCATTCAATTTACCAAAACTGTCCATATTTTTTCGAGACGCAGAATCAGATGTTGAAAATTTACGAGTAAAACGAATGGAAATGTACGCATTTGTAGTATCTGAGAATATTACATTAATAGCCTATTTTTGGCAGCTTTTACTGTGCCCAGGAGTTCTAGCGAACTGTTTTATTATTCAACTTTGCCTTTGTTTTGAGCAATTATAAAGAGTTTTGATCTTCTAATGAAATGAAAATATCCTGGAATTGAATACGGTAGAAATTTAACAAAATCGCAGGTAAAAAACGCAGAACATTTAATGATTGCAATTAAACAGTAGAAACATTGATGTTTTCGTGGAAACAAAATGTGCCTATCGTATATATAGCAGTACAAATAACGGTTCTTCGAATCAATTTTGCTAAGACAAATATTTCAATAGTAGAAACTTGCCACACACGCACACATAATATTAAAGAAAGAGTATTCGTTGACTCATTAAAAGAGAAAATGAATTAAATGAGGAAAATGAAATCAAATATTTGTTTCTCGCTCGTTCAGGAGATGAAATTCTTGGAATTTCTTTGAATTATAATCGACATAATGATTGCGTGTGAATTATTTCAATTCTATATTAGTGAATTATATACTCGCAACAGTATACAACGATAAAATGAAACAACATCCTGTCAGTTATTTTCAAAATTTCAGTAATTTATTTGATATAATTGATTTGTTTTCATTTAAACTGCCCAAATTGGGAATGCATAGTTAATTGATAATTATAATTAATTTGAATTTCCTCTTTATATCAAATTCAAAACCATGATTGAAGTAGGCAGTTGTGTTAAGATATTTCAAGCAAAACGTCGTTCTGAAATCCTCTTGTGTAAATCTGATGAAATCAGTTGAAAAAATAAGAAAACTTTGAAATAAATTTTAGAATATTTTGGACGCATTTTTATAAAGTTCAGAAGAAAAAAATTAATAAAACTAGCGTGCAAGGCTTTCGTTTAATTTTTAACCAATTACAATTCTGAAAATAAAACAATGTTGATCTTATCCTCTGTGAAATGGCAACTAAAGATAATTGGTATTTTTCCAATATCGAAAAATGATTTGCCAATCGTATTACAACCATACCAATTAACAATCAATTGGATACACATGATAATTGTGATTTTTTCATTGTTTACATACCAAATGGGAACATTGATGTTTTTCTTATACGAAGCAAAAACATTCGCCGAATATACCGACTCCGGCCTCTATTCAACGGCTGCAATGTTGGATATTTCAGTGTATTCCATTCTTATCTGGAAACGATCGGAATTGTTGAAGGTCTTCAACAGATTGGAACGAATTATTTCGATAAGTAAGAGAGAATTTTAAATGGTTTAGTTTGAGTAAGACTTGAAGCGACAGAAAAATGCTTTTCAATTTTTTATAATCTGTGCCGATTTTGTTTCAAGTGAAAAAAAAATTTCGGGTGCCCTTTTTCGAATCAATTTAAATCAAGTGATGATGCATTTTTCGCAAAAAAATTTCACATTTTTTTAGCTAAAAATCAACTTTAGTTGAAAAAACTTGTGAAAAATATTTTTATCTATAGAATAAATAAAAAAATATTTATCTATAAAATTTGTTCAAAAAAAAAAAAAAAAAAACTCACGCCATATGCTCTCTTTCTGCAGGAATCCGAGTGACCAAAATTCTAGCCATTTATTCACAGGAAAATGAAAAATCCGAAAAATTTGCTCAAAGCGTTTGGAATGTGATTTTAATATGTGTTGAATTTATCATTTTTCCCCTCGCTTTATTATCATTTTACCTATACTACACGTCAAATTCAAATGGAACGACATCATTTCGGCAGGTTTTTCCCGCAACGTAAATCATTTTTTATTATATTCAGTATTTAAAGTTCGGATGATATTAAAATTGTCAATTTTTTAATCGATTCAATAAATTTACCTTGTTCATTACAATTTTTGCTCTTTTCTTACAGTGTTCCGTGGGATTGGAGGGTTCCAACTGGATACTTGTATTTAATCGGTTTACAATTCGTTTGGTTAAATTGTGCTCTTTCCGTGGTCGCCTGCTCATTGTCGCTTTTTGTTGGATGTTGTATTTTATTGACATCCTTGGCTCTGGATGTCAAGGAGCGTTTTATCGATTTGAGGGAAAGTATCATAGCATCTACATCATCTGTTGAGCCTTTGGATAAGCTCAAGGACATCATTCAATTCCATTCCGATGCCGAAGAGTAAAAAACGCGACATTTGTTTGACAAATGGAAGACTTTTAATGGATTTTCATTTTCTTTTCAGTATTGTGGGCCATTTTTCGACGGTGTGCAAGTCAATGGTCACAACATTTCTTGGCATATCAACAACGTTGCTTTGTGCTACTTTCTTGGGATTGGATGTGGTATGAAATACTTTCTGGTTTTTAAATCACTAAAATCCACTCAACAACATTTCAATCTCGACAAATAAAATGATGAAACTAAATTTTCTTCCTTTAAATAGGCACTCAAAAATGAAGGCACCGTTGTGGTCTTGCGCACCATTTCCTGTTTGATCATTGTTTTGAACATTCCTTTGGTGTTGTGTTTCAATGGTGATAATGTGAGTACGAAATTCGAAGAGATTAATGATGTATTCGATGATTGTGGTTGGTATGACTTTCCGTTAAATATGCAAAAGCTTCTACCCCACATGCTTATGATGATCCAGAAACCAGTATTCATTGGAGGCTATATGAATACCCACTGCACGCGTGACGTTTTCAAAACGGTAACGGGTTTTTTCCAAAGGGTTTTTCAATATGTTTATTTAAATGAACAATTTTATTTTAAGCAGATAACAAAGACGGGATTTTCCTATTTCACCATGTTACGCAAATCTAAATGAATGGAAAATACTTTAAACTTAATGTGGCTACTTCAGTATATTATCTAATACTTATTACTAATACTATTAAATACTTGAGCACATTACACTGTACAACATGATAATTATTTCACATGTTTCCACAGTTGAATGTCCAATTTAGACAAATTTTCTTTCCTTTTGCCTCTTGGCGCTTCAAATTGAAATATTTTAAAAGATATGCACAGCTGTAATCTTAGAAGTGTTTGCATTTTACTGTTGGTAGTCAGTAAACTTAATAGGTTTCAATTTAAATCTGTAGAGTTCATTTTTTAATATGCCTGGAATTTGTATTACAATTTTTTCGTTGATATTTACTAATTGTGCGTGCACTGAGAGTGAAAAGAAATGGTTTAGTTGAAAATTTCAACTTGAAATTGAACTTATCGTGACCATGCCCCATTTGATTATAACCGTATTAAACGTACCTAATAAAATACTCGTTTCAAACTTTTGGCTCTGAAAATCGGATTTTGACTGAAGATTAATGCGCTGGACAGCAGTTTAAAAAGTAGTAGAGTCTTTCACTGTTGAGTTATTTGCTACGAAACCGCAATTCATTTCCATTGTAGAAATTCCACGCTTTTTATCAACATTTTTCTTTCCTTTCTTTCAATCACTTTCTAAGGATTTCCTTTTTTGACATTCAATCAAACAGGAAAGAAAAAACGAGAAAAATTGTGCGCAAACTATTAAAAATGAAAATGTAGGTAAAATAAGTATGGAAAAATGCAGACGTGAAAAAAATGTGGTTTTGAATATTCAAATCGTACAATATGATTGACGTTATCGACATTACAGAGAAAATTTCCAACGAAAAAATCAATAGTGCGACCATGAAATCACGAATATGTGAGCAACATGAAATAATAAACCAATGAAAATTTACTTTCAGCGACGGCCATTGATTTATTTGTAAAATATCATGTAATGTGAGTTTAAACAAATAAGACAGCTTTTAAAGGGAAGTTGAAAATAGCTTGATGTAGAATATCTGATGTAATTACATGTTTATTAAGCATCCACAATAAAAACATGAGACTTTATTACAGCGATTCAATTAATGAGTTAAATTTTCTTTATCTTTTCTAAATCATTGAATTAGTCTTTCCGCAAGGAGATTATTTGCTTGATAATCTGACATCGTGAGCAAATTGAATAAACGATATTCATGTTCAGTTAATTGCTCAAACAAAGTCTCTTGGAAAAATTTCATTTAACAGATTAATTATGAGATAACACAGGGAATGAATTCAATGCCGTTCTAGTTTAAATTTCGATGAATATCATCGCCGTTCGGAGTGTTCTTCGCATCTGTTCGCTGTACCTTCCGGCCCGATACAAGCGGCATAGGCCAAAACATGTGGAATGTAATTTTGTTCCACCACTCCAGCTAACAGGTGACTGAATGGTCCACGAGAGAAAATTCCAACATCATCTCCACCATGTGCCTCGTTATCCGAACCGACCGATCCGATGTATTGGAAGTTTTTGTCTGGATTTGCAATGAATTTTTATGAAATAAACAAATTTAGAAACAAACAAAAAAAAAACGAATTTTCATTACCTATTGTAACCGTATCCAAGTCGATTCTATCACCATTATTATCTTGGTTATAAAAATACCCGGGCCCATAAGCATACGAAATGATTGTTACGCTTTTGTTGTCATAGCGATCGGCAACTGATGAAAATTCGTGTAAAAAATACAAAAATTTAATAAAATATGAAAAATATCAAAACATTTGTTACCTAATGGATCGACGCCTTCGTTCAAGCTAGTCATGGTGCCGAGAATATTCGAGCCTCGTTTTGGATAGCCAGAAATAGTCATTGTATGGGCATGATCAGCGGTGACCACAATCATAGTGTCAACTTCGCTCGTTTTCAAGTCGGCCATTTTGATGGCATCACTGAATTGGCAGGTTTCAATCACAGCCTGTTGTGCCAGTGTCGCATGATTGGCATAGTCAATCAAGCCTCCTTCGACAAAAAGTACAAAACCATTTGAATTGGTAGATAAAATATTCATTGCCATTTCGGTCATTTCAGTGAGTGTTGGTTCCACGGAATGATCTGTGTCCGAATGATAATTCATGTGGCCCGAAGCAAATAAGCCAAGTACATTGTTTACATACGAGTGATTTAAATTCAGCAAATTATCTCGGTTCGAAACAAAAGCCCATGTGTCACTTTGATCCTTTTTACTGGCGATCCATTCTTTTATAAGATTTCGACCATCAAGACGCACACCACGTTTTCCATGGTCATCGATCGTTATGTTTGGCAACAATTTTTCCGCACCACCACCCATTATTACATTCAAATTTCGACCCGTTTCACCTTCAATCAATTGCTTAGCGATATCGACACAGGCCTCTGGGTCTCCACCAAATCTATGGACATCGTAATCTGATTCATATATTCGATTCGAACTATGCGCATAGGCAGAAGCCGGAGTTGCATGTGTGACACGAGTATTTGTTACGATTCCAGTGGATTTTCCAGCTAATTGTGCCCAACGAAGCAACGAATACACATGATTTCGCGGATCTTTACTCGCTTCACAATCATTCTTTACCACCTGACCATTGACACCTTGCGTAAACATATTCGCTTTGACACCACTCAACAATGCGGTCGCCGAACATGCCGAATCAGCTACTTGTAGATCAAGACAATATGTCTGGAATGGAGTGGAATGCAAAATGAGATTCTAGGCGAAAAATGACTTTTTTTTAAGGAGAAATTCGATGAAGGAGAAAAATCAATTATCGAAGAGAAAATTAAGTTGACCAAACAGAAAATCAATTGCTTGTAGAGCAAACTCAATGCATGACTATTAAATACATTCAAGTTGTTCATTTTTGACGAAGCGATTGGAAGAATGACGAATTTAGAATTAAAAACACAGAATAAGAAGGGAAATTTAAATTTTCTGAAAAAAATCGACGAAATTAAAAAAAAAAATCACATTAAACTCACCTTAGCCAATGCAACATGTGGAAATTTCTGGAACCACAAATCGGCCTCTTCGCCCTTCTTGCCTTGTAGTTGACCTTGGAAAATCCTGGCCGCTGTTAACGTGGTCAAACTCATTCCATCGCCCAAGAAATAGATTATATTTTTCGCAACATTTGTATTTGGCTTTCGGTACAATCGATCTTTCAACGTCACTTGAGCTTGATCAAACCAATATTTCGTCGTTTTTTCCAATTTCTCCAATAATTCTCCATCGTAATCATCATTTTCGGGGACATTGATTTGATCTACAAAAGAATAATGAATTGAAAAAAAAAAATGGTTTTGAGTCGAAAATCCGTGATAAAATTTCAAAATTCATCAAGTTGAAAAATGTTGCTTCGGTTCAAGGCTTGATGAACACTTTGAAAATCAACTTGTCCTTGTTAAACAACTTATTGTTATTGGTAATTATTAGTAAAAAATGTTATTTAACGCGTTAAAAACTGTCCAAAAATGGTTTGTCGTTAGATTAAAGTGGAAAGATTCACCTTTATCTATAACAACGGATCCATTTCCGGCTTTCAAATTTTCATGACTCCAAGACGACACATTTGTTGCTGGTTTTTGTGTTGTCTCGCTCACTTCTGGCTGTGAAATTGGGTAAGTTGTAGTTGTATTTTCGGCTGAATCGTCCGGTTTTTTGGCTCTTGCTTCAGTGGTCACTATGACAATCACCAAAATTACGGTTACGCTCAAAAGTAAAGTCGAAAGCAACAATTTTCCCATATTTCCTTTCAATTTTTTTGCGAATGTCGTAGTCGTCATCTAGTTGAATGCGTAGCACATCGCCAACTGAATGATATTCAACGTAGTCAATGCTTTTAAATGTATTGTTGGTGACGGAATAAATAATTTAATGTTTTTATTTGTAAATTACCATTTTAAAAGCATTTAAAAGTGGAACAAGCTCATGGCAGCCATTTGTGTGTCGGGTTTTAGCAATAAAAACGCATTTCGCACTGCGTTGATATCCACATTAGATGTGAATGCTTATCTCAATTGATTCAATTATGACGTATGGCGACGGCAGAACATGTGAGCAATTGATTGTTAGTAAACAAATTAAATTATAGTAATGTGTTAGCGTTAGATTTATTCATGCGGAATTCCATCGAATTCGGTTTTTCGCATTCAAAACACTCAACCATAGAAGAGATGCTATGAATAGTATCCAATAAAAAAGATTGCGTTGAACGATATTATGCGTTTATTATCTTTTATAGCTTGAAATAGATAACATAGATTTGAAATGTATCAAGCTATGATATCTATGAATGACCTTGATAGCTTTTATCAATTATCACTGTTATCTCCTTACTGATAAGAGATACGTGATGACTGTCTGCGGCAAAATTGTAGATTTCAACGATATTCAAAACTTTGCTGAACAAAGTTCTGCTCCGTTGCATATGGAGTACGAGTTATGGGAGAAAAACCGAAAAAATGCAAAAAATCCGTATAAATGTATAGAAAAATATCAATTTTTCCCACTGCACATTCAGAGATGATTTGAGCCAAAGTGAGAGGTTTTATCAAAAACTGATGTTTGGGAGTTATAGCTAATTTTCGACGAGGAATCCAAAAATGCAATTGATCTAGGGATGAGTAGTGAGGTTTACCCACTTTGGGGTGGTTTTTGTACTTTTTTCACTTTTTGACCTCTGCCCTTCAAACTGGATCAACATGGGAGGCCAACACTATGTGTCAATGAAATCTATGGGACCAGGCGCAACTTTCGTCGGATACAGCCTATTTGCCCAATTAAGTTTTAAGGGGAGAAAAATGCATCGAAAGTGTTGGGGATGGAATTGTTTAACATTCGAAGGCGAATTTAAAGTATACAAATACAACCAACACGAGTTCACCATCGCCAGATTTAATATTGGGAGCCGCTTAAGTGACTCCATAGTTTTATTATCTTCGATTGCCCGCCAACAACAGAGGAGCATATGTTGTACATACTAACAACGTGCGAGTCCATAGTTTGAAAAACTTGAAAGTTAATGAACTTAAAAGTTTTTTAAACGTCAAACGCAGAAAACAGAGGAAAACATATGCACGTGTTAACGATGTTTGAATCTCAAGATTATTAACCCTTTATCACATTTCGGTTTCTAAATAACCAGATACGCCAGACGCTATAGCTATGAAACCACTGAATATTTTTGCATTCTTGTTTGGAAACAAATGTAGGGAATTGAACTAGCTTTCATTTGATACTTTACAGGCTACAATTGGCTGGCTGAATGGAAAGTTTTTTCTGTTCATGTACTGCTGTAAAAAAAATGCGAAATTATAGCAGAATTCCACATTTTTCCTCCTCTTATCTTGTGGGTTTGTTCATTCTTTTCAATTGTCAAATTAGGACTCGTAGGACCAAAACACATCAATTTAACTTTCTGCATCATTAGTTTTATGAAATTTAATTTTTTCAAGCTTTTATATAGATTTGACACTTTTGACTCTTTTCCGATTTTCTCGACAAATACGCAATTTTTCAAAAATCTAAGTATGAGGTTTTTCTCTATTTATCGTGGCACAAAACATATATCAAAATGATTCAAAAACAAAAAATTGCGCATCAAAGGGTTAAACGTCTGTCACCCGAACACGACACAACAACACATGAAATCATATATTCCGTATGCGACTCCTTTTTTTTCGTTTCAGATAATATTTCAAAATTTTAAATTCTGAAGGCACTAAAAAAATCTTACCTCCAACTAATGGTTTTGAACGTTTTTTGAGTAATATTTTAGAAATTGTAGTTTGCTACCGATTCAGCTAATAACATTGAAAATTGGCTGCCATGCATACGAGCAACCATAAAAATTGACGAAAATTGATGTTTCCTTTAAGAACAGAATAAAGTGAAAAGTCGTTTACAAGGTGTTTGGTTTTTGGGCTGTAACCGGAATCACAATGTGTGTGGATTGCACTAAATAAAGCGCCATCTATGTCATGATTTTCAAAATTTGTTTTTTATATACAATTTAAATTATATTTTTACAATATTTAAATGAATAATTTCACTTTTGCTTCACGAATTGACTTTATACGGGGCCCAGAAACCCGTAGTTATGTTTTGTGTGCTGCCACAAGTAACTACGCGCCCCACGTAGTATCTTTTACGATCTATTACGTTTCCCAACAAAAATGAAAAATATCTTCAGTTGTTTTATGATTTCCTGTAAATGTTTTTTAATAATAATTTCGCATTTTTTTCAAATGTTTTTTTTCAAATTCCTTTTTCAATGAACATTATTTGAATCTAAAACTCGTTAAGATAAGTTCTATGACTTTTTACCACTTTTCCGTTCAATGATTCCTGGATTTTTCAATTTGTTTTCTCACGCCATTGTAAATTCTACTCAAACTAGGCCATTAAAACCCATGTCTAGAAACTTCATTTTCTATATAAAAATTATCCAAATAAATTGAATGAAATGTTAAATGAATGTTCAATTTTACGTGATTTTACATTTAGCATTGCTACACAGCATGTTTTGTTGATCTCCCAGTATATAACGTACTAGAATAAACTGATTGAAACTAGTACAATTAGCATTCGCCACCATTTTTATTCAATTATTTTTCATATTTTTGACATTTTGAACAATCAAAATAAAATTGAAGTGAGGTTTATTTTGTCACGAGTTGTTTTCCATAAACATATGTGCCGTAAAAATTAAAAATTAAACTTTGTCGAACAAATCCCAATCTGAATACATTCTACTGTTTACTGAAATAGAAGTTTTATTCCATGCTTCAAAGTCTGTACGGAAATATAAATAAACTGATTGAGTATACCATGACGCTCGATGCATTGTATTGTAAACTATACTTTACAAGTAAAAATGATCAATTTTCATCCAATTTACTTGGAATTTGGCATAGATAACTTTTGTGATACAAAAATAAAATTCCAATATCCAAATAGCAGTTATATCGGGAGAAAAGCATAGTTGCAGAATGAAATCTTCAATTTTTCACTGATTTTTGAAGGTGGACCAAAAAACTTGTTTGGGAAGTAGTCAAATAGATTGTCCGATTGTATTGGAATTGTATCTGGCAACTGTCGTGAGTAAAGAAAAGTTCCGCATTTGGTAGCGATTTTCGAAGAAGTTCTGTCTTTTTTGAGCCCATTTCTATTCATTGATTCCTGGATTTTTCATTTACTCATTTCACTTCAATCTCGACTCTATCCAAACAAGGCCATCAAAACCAATATATATTGGCACTTGATTTTCCTTGTAGTTCTTTGTAAAATGATTGTTATCATCTCTACAAAGAAGGAAAATCAACTGAATTTGAAGTGAAATGAGTGAACGAAAAATCCAGGAATCAATGAATCGAAACGAGCTCAAAAATAATAGAAGACATTTGGAGATTGCTACCAAACTTTCAGATCTTCATTTCTTTGCTCATGGCAGTAGCCAAGAGCAATTCCAACACAATCGGATAAGCTATTCAAGTCCAGTATAAGAGAAAAATTGAGGAAACTGTCCATTGAAAAATCAGAAATTCTACCTTGTAAAGTATAGTTTACATGTGCAGAATGTGTACTACATAGTGAACTTCAGATGCATAGTATATAATACAGCGTATGTATCAAGGCATTGCACTTGTTACGCATATATTTTACACATTAAAAACAAGAATTTGCCATTTTCCATAATTATTTTCCCTCAAATTCCACTTTGTAAAGTATAGTTTACATGTGTAGAATATGTGCTACTAAAATCAAATATATACACGGTACATGACGACATAATATTTTTAAAATCAAATTTGAATTATACGCTATCGAATCAAACTTTCAATGCGTGTAATTGAAATTTGAACTTGAAAATTGTTGTGTTGTCTTGTTCCGTGTATAGAACTGAATTTCACTATGTAGCACAAATGCTAAAAAAGTGCTGTACTTTGCAAAGTAGAATTTCCAAGGTAGAATTTGTAGTACTAGATCCGCTGTCAAAGTATACTTGCGTTCACTACGTTGGGCGCGTAGTATACGTTTGAAGTTTCGTTTCCACGCCCCGACTTTATAAAAAGAATTTCATCAAGTAAAAATTATTTTTCATTGCAAATGTTCAAGCACAAAACTAAGGTTTTACAAGAAATTGTAGACTTGTAAATCAGATTTACAATTTACAAGTTTACAATTATTGTAGCTAATGTATGGTGCAACGGGTCCCTGGAACTAGATGAGTTTAAGGAGAATCAATTTTAAAAATCACCATTGACAACATAACAAAAGTAGATTGCGAGTTGTATCTTCTCCAACATCCCATTCAAAAAGGGAATAGACTAATTAAGATTTCATTTTGAAGTTACAAAAATGAATATTAAATCAATATTTTGAATTGAAGACGAATGAGGCTTCAGTGAATGAAATAAAAGTTACTCAACTCGAACAAATACAAAATTTTAAAGTAATTCTATCGATAAAATCCCAGACGAATGTTTACGATGACTTATTTCTCTTAGTTCAAGTGCTATGATAACAAATTAATCAGTACTTCCGCGTAGAATTTGTCTGTAAGTTTCATAATCTCTTCAATTGATAGTGAAAAGAAGAAAAAAAAACCTCAGCCAAAAATACAGAACGAAGTTCACATTCAATTGGCAACAAAAAAAAATAACACTTAAACTTCAATATGTACTTATTCTGTAATTTGTTATCATCAGTTAAAATGAAATCTTTGTATTGATCATCACAAGTGAAAGTCATGATTGTTGCGTGCGCACAAAATTCAGATGATTTCTAGTTTAACTTCATCGGAATTTTCGACATATTTGCTCTTGTGTGCTTCAAACAGTTCTTTGAGTTGTGTGCAAAACAGTTCATGAATTCTATCGACATCATCTTCGGTTGGTTTTAGAATTCTCTCCACTTTAATCGGTGCTCCGATGACTGTTGTGATTTTCTGTCGTCTTGGTATAATTCCATAGTCGTATTGAAGGTATCCACGACCGTTGAAATGAATTGGCGCGACTTTTGTGAGGCGTTTGACACTGTCTTGGATGAATCGTCCCCAAGAGCCGGGCTTATAGTCGATTATTTCGAAGAGATTATTTTCACCAAATGAAATGGCTGGCACGAGTGAAGCGCCGGTTTTCAATGCGATTTTAGCGAAACCTTTGCGGCTTTTAAGTACACATTTGTAAGTATGAGGAACAGCGTAGAATGACTCTTGTGCACCGCCAACTACCAATCCAACTCCGTTTGATGTGTATCCGTCTTGGTTGGATTTATCATTCGGATTATTTGGCTGTTGTAGTAACGTTGTCAATGAATTGGCCGACGCTGAACAAACACCGAAACTTAATAATATCTCACGTGTTATCGGCAACAACAAATTTGTACCGAGTGTCGCCACTTTGCTACGAATGCCAGGAAACAGTTTCGACCACTTTGAATGATTCGAGTTGAATGAAACGAATGCTCCGAAACTAAAATGAGATTAGAAGAATTATAGACTTTTTTTGAAGACAAAAATATGCTTCCTTCTTTACACTTTTTTTTACGCTTTTGAGTTTTTTTTTTGTTTTCGTTCTCAATTCGTTCACTCTTCTTCGAATAAAACTGACGAAATGATATGTCTGAACGTGATTTTGATAAGAATTCATGGAATATTCTCGTGAAGGAAAAAAGTCAGTTCGTGAAGAATGAACGAGAGAACAGGTCAACTTGAGTTGTTGAGATAGCCCATGAATTGGATCATGATAATATTTCGATTCAATTAGTAATACTCTGAAAAAATACTGTGCAATTATGTAAGAACCGGAGGTTGATTAAATCGAATGTAAAAACGTTTTCTTTTGACATGTATCTACAAGAATTTTAACTTTTATACAGAAAAATCGTCGACGTTTTCTAAACACTCGAAGCATATATGCTTCATATACAAATATGCGTACGTTTTATTAACTCATTAATTACTAAGCATTCGAATTTCCATACAAAATGGAACACTTGGTAGTTGATGGCTTAAAACAAAATCAAGTTTGAATTATTTTAGTGGAAAAAAATGTCGAGAAACGGTGTTTGTAGCCGCACATCATTTCAATGAAAAAATCAAGAAACTCGGTAGAAACCGAAAATTATTCACCGGATTTAATTCACAATTTACCTCAAAATGCCATGTGGAAAGAAGCAAATCAAATAATTTCGGTCGGCCGGCAAATCGACGGTTTTCACCATATCCAGTGGGAAATAGTTTACGCAATGTCTCCACACATTCATCGATCGAATCCATGAAATACTAGAACATTCAAATGAAAATTGATGTTTTCAAAGTTCATTCATTTTGTTTAAAACAAAAACTATAATTTTCCCGCATTTGAAGTTTGTTATAAAAGGTTACTGCTCCCAAAATTATTTCTCACTTAAAAATTTTTTTTCTCTAAATAATGTGATCTGTTTTCGCCATTTCGACTCAAACTTCAGTTGTACACATTGTAAAATTAACACTTCTTACCCAGCGCCTCGTCCACCTCGATCGCCTGTGTGTCGATCATAGTAAATAAACGCTATATACAGCACACAAATGGTTTTCCAGTAAATATTTCCGGCAAACTGCGAAGAAAAAAAGAAGAAAATGTCCGAAAATCGTTAAAACTTTGACTCTTTACAAGTGTTATTCAATCAAATTTTGAACACACCAGCAAATAGACTACAAGCAGTAATGAAAGAGCGGGTAGTATAATTGCGCAAAACATAAGAAATCCAACACTAAATAATTGGAGACGTCGCTCAAGCGGTACCTAGGAGAGAAAGAAAATCGCAAAAGAAACAAATGAAATTATTAGTGTGGAACAATGATGACAAACAAAGTGATGGAATATCAATGAAAACTGAAAAGCGGTACATCGAACCAGGGTGTCCAATTTATGGCCATATTTTTTTTTTCTCACGAATGAGTTTTATTGACGAAAAAAAAAACACAAATTTTATTGATCAATCCACTCAGTTTAATTTCTGTGAATCACAGAAGCATCAAATTTTGAACCAGCTTTCTAGTCAATTCGAGTAATTCACAAAATTATCAACTAATTTGTCCAGTTGTCCGACACAACTCATTCGAGAGGTCAAGTGTAACTAATGTAAAGTCAGAATAGAATGCATGCGAACGGCATGAATCGAATGAGTCGGTTATCAAATAGAGACGAGATAAGATTCCGCTTCGTGGTTGAAAACTGATTCAATGTCGCGGCCACATAAAAAAGTGATAGTTTTGATGATTTGGCACAACAAACGCACTGAGAACGATTGCTAAACAGCAATCGATGTTTTGCGTGTTCAAAACAAGAAATTGACATTCAAACTAATAACAATCATTATTCTAATCGAGCGGCACAATTCCATATCGTCTGCACTATTGTGAGTGGAGTGTGATTTATACACAGAGCGAGTCACAGTGAAATACGCCGTATTCTCGGTTTCTTATCGCAATTACGTAAAATGACATGCTTCATTTCTCACGAGCGTGCGGTTCTGAAACGGCGCTTCTTCAATCGATGATTCAACTTCAGTGGACACGATCAGCAGCATCTGGTGCACAACAATTCTCAAGCGGCAAACGCAACTGATATAACTCATCGCTTGTGTTACACAAAATGTGTTACGTTATCAGTCGACCGGTCATGTGAGTTTGTCTGTTTTGCGAGAGGCTGTTTTCAAAGGCCTCTTAACAATTATCATTTCACGATTTAAATGAACGAAGTGATGACAGAAATTGTTCGAAAGATGATTCGTTCGAACGGCAATGAACGAAATTTAAAATGAAAGACTCAATAAAAAATGAACGAAAAATCCGAAACTAAGCATGAATTTCACTTTTTCCCCAATAACAACAAGTACGTTATTTACGTTTCAGTTTCTTCAGTCAAAACGAAATCAAAAGGCTATAAAAAAAAAATCACGAGCGCTAGTCATGTCCGTTGCGTGCGAGTAGAAGCAGATGAATATGATTGTCGTCGTAATTGTTCGCGTATTTTTATATATAGATTAATAGAGTAATTGCCAATTGCTCCTATGAACATTAAACCAGAATTGCAATTCTTTCAGTTGAATGCAAAAGAGACTATGAATATATTTATAGGCCACGGTACGAAACTATAGTTTCGAATACTTTTTCGCTTAAGTATTCGGCGAATGCAATGAATTGCAGCCATGCAGCGCAATTCGCTTAAAGCGCTTGTGATGTATTCCGAAAATTATTGCAATTGGAACATTTTGTATGGAGACCACTTTCTTGATTATCAATTCTCTCGTTTTTGTTTGCACCATTGTGTGTGTATATTTATTTTATTTTTTTCATTTGTTGCTAACCAAATAATGAATAATTGTGTATAATTTAAACATGGTAAATCAAGTCAGAGTTGTGAGTTGTTTAATCTTGTGAACAGAAGACATTCCCATTGTTGGAGATCATTTCATTAAAAATAAATACACAAAGTCACCTTCCCTTTTCTTGAGATTTTTTCGTAAGGAAATTAGGTTACTAATAACTAGTTGTAATTACTGTTTGAATTTAAAAAAAAAAATCTAAACAATTATTGAAAAAAGAATTCATTTCAAAATGGCATGTGTTGTTTGTAATAAAAATGGGAATACAGAAGCGTTTGAACTGAAGCGCAATATGGAATTTGTTTGTTAAAAACGCAACAAGAATCGTCGCTTTAATAGAAACGTACCATGTAAAGTGTGAATTTTGAATGTGGTTTTCTGTATTTTTCGCGAAAATTATAAGAGAAGCTTGAGAAATGTGAATATTTCTGAGTATTATAGATACTTTCTCACTGAATTTTCGAACATATTGTAAAAATACGTGCATATTGGGAATGTTTTAAATACAGTTGTAAATATGGCGACAAACTCAATGGCAGCTGGTTAGAACGTCTGAGCTATCGAAAAAGAAACACTGAATGGTGAATATGAATGGATATTCTGGATATATCGTTAACACTCCAATTTGTAACATAAACTATCAGTTTTCCGATTTGCATGTCCATTTCCCAACATGTTTATATCTATATATTCGAAAGAGAATTTATTTGGCTTTTATTTGATGTATCGGTTGATTAACGAAAAATTCATTCAATAGTTTAATTTTTATTTTAATCGCAAAAATACACGAAATCTCATATTAGGAAACTTAACTATCCATATTGTAAACTCCAAATTGAAACATATATTCACAAACTTATGACGAAACTTTATGAAATGTCAAAATTTGAACGCGCGAAAACCGTTTGGGTTCCACGGAATTGTTTTCAAATTCGATGTGATTTCGATTTATTCTATTGATTTTGGATTGTTTTTCTTTTATTTTTTTCAATATTTATTGTTTTAAAACATTATCGCAAACAAGAATATTTACTAGGCTGTCCTGCCATTCACCGATTTTAAATCAACATAGCTCGTTTTATTCGTTACACGTTGTAGAACATTTCGTAGAAGAAACTTTTTTGAAAAAATGATTCTCCGCGATCAAAATTGAAGAAAAAGAAAATAATCAATTAAAAGGTTTCACATTAAACGGGCAAGATGGCGACTTCGAATACATTTCAATACTTTCACACATTGCTGTTAGCCGAGAAGCATCCATGCGAT